AGCCAAATAGCTCAGTGAATTAAAGCGCCCGCAAGCAGGCGCAGGGGCGGGGGTTCAATCCCCAGGTCTTCTGTGCCGGCCCTGCCCCTGGGGCCTGTTGAGAGGGCAACTGAGACTGGGTGTGGTGGCATGCACCTGTAATCCCAGCACTTAGGAGGTTGTAAACAGGAGAATCACTGTGAGTCTGATCTAGTAGTGAGACCCTGAACACCCTGTAGACCCTTCCCTAAAGTAGAGAAAAAAAAAAAAAAGCAAAATTAGACAAATAGGATTAAATCAAACTAAAAAGCTTCTGCACAACAAAAGAACAATATAAAGAGAAAACCTGGAATGGGCAGAAAATATCTGCAAATCATACACTTGAAAAGAAATTAGGAGCTGGTGAGATGGCTCAGTGGTCTAAAGCGCCTACTTAGAACAAGCTTAGCAAAGCACAGGGACCGCGGTTCAATCCCCCAGCACCACATGCCAGCCAGCCCCGCCCCCTGGTGGGCTGAGCTGGCCACACACACACACAAAAATAAATAAATAAATTTTTTTTTTAAAAAAGGAAGAAATTAGTATTCCAAATATATACAGAATTCAACAGCAATTTTAAAAATGAGAGCAAAGTACCTGAAAAACAAATTTCTCAAAAGAAGACACTCAAATGGCCAACATATATATGAAAAAGTCACTAATATCACTAATCAGAAATGGAAGTCAAAGCCATAATTAAGTATCACCTCACATCTGTCAAAGTGGCTATTATAAAAAAAAAAGGATATGTACTGGAGAAAAAGGGTTCCACGAAACATTGTTGATGGGAAAGTAAATTGCATAGTACAGAAAAACAGAGTGGATATTTCTAAGAATAATAAAAATAGAACTGCCATATGATCTAGCAATTCTACTACTTCATATAGATCCAAAGAAAAGCAAGTCAAAGGGCTATCCATGCTCCCATGTTTACTGTAGCTTCATTCACAAAGCCAAGATGTGGAATCAACAAATAAAAATTATACACTTAATAGAATATTATACACATAATAGAATATTATTCAACCTCAAAAAAGGAAGGAAAGTCTCTCATTTTTGAGAACATGAACTTAGAGAGCATAATGTTAAGTAAAATATTCCAGGCATGGAAAACCAAACATCATGTAATATAATGTATATATGGAATCTAAAATTCAATTCATGGAGATACAAAATCGGAGTTCTGGGGAGATGTTGCTCAAAAGACACAAAATGTCAGATAGCACGAATAAGTTCAAGAAACTTACAGTATACTACAGTGTTAACGAAGTTTTGTATACCTGAAATTGCTAAGAATAGATTTTACATGTACTTGCCATAAAAAAGTATGTGAGCTAAGACACATACGTGGTTTGATTTAGCCATTCCACGATTCTAAATAACACAATTTTGGTCAATTAAAAATAAATGAACTTTTTTTTAAAATCCAGATGTAGTGGCGTACACCTGTAACTCCAGCTATCAGCCACAGGCAAGACAATTTCAAGTTTAGTGCTTCCACAGGCAACTTAGCAAGATGCTGTCTCAAAATTTAAAAATATACAGGGCTAAAGATGTAGCCTGGAGTACTTGCTTAGCATGCATGAGGTCCTAGGCTCAACTCCCAACAAGGAAAAAAAAAAGGAAAAAGGAAAAATGTGGGAGGAGAAAAGAAAGGTCAACTGTGTATTCTTATCTTCTTCTGGCCAAGAAGATAAGAACAAGAGAATAATTTTAATGGCATAAACTCTCAAAGCATGGCCCAAGTCACACTGGTAACACCTAGTTTTATAATTTAGACCTAAAACATCCCACAAAGTCTGTTTGCAAGGTTACAGTGTCACTGGGACATCATACACTGTGACCGTGCTGCTGGGTGGCATGCCTGCTCCCTGGGAGTATGACTAGAAAGGGCACATCTCTCTCTGCTTCCTGGCTGCTGTGGAGTGAACAGTTTTTCTCTGCTCTTTCATGCTCTTCTATCACCCATTTTTGAGTGGGAGCCAGCCAACTAGCACTGACCCACTGAAAACTGTGTGCCAAATAAACCTCCTCTCCTTTAAGGTACAGTGTCAAGTAGTTTGTCTATGCAACAGAAAAGCTGAGTTGAGTTGTTGCTGTGACTAATGAAATTTCAGTTGGGAATAAGAACTCCACTGACAGTTGACTAAAGGTCATGTATTTTACACTCTGGCAAATAATATGACTTCATGTTGTTCACATCCTGAGATTTTGCACAAGAGTGAGATTAAAAGTAGTGATATGATAGAGGAAATTTCAAGGCAGCCAAATACTCAAGCTCCTGGATGGTTTTAGTTAGAACTACAGTGGGAATCAGACAAAATGCACATCTAAAAAGTTTCAGGTGTCACCAGAAAGGAAGCACCTGCAAAGTTGAGAACAAGGACAGCATGTTTGCTGAAAAGATTAACACTTGACCAAGTACTCTGCATTAAGATGATACTCAGAAAGACAGCTTAAAGAAATCTCAGGAATTAGCCAGATTTCAACTTTTGCAGGTTCAACAGTATAAAACAGTAAAAGTAAACTTCCATAAAGGATTTTCCCGGGGCTGGTGAGATGGCTCAGTGGTCTAAAGCACCTACTTAGAACAGGCTTAGCAAAGCACAGGGACCGTGGTTCAATCCCCCAGCACCACATGCCAGCCAGCCCCGCCCCCTGGTGGGCTGAGCTGGCCACACACACACACACACACACACACACACAATAAATAAATAAATAAATAAAAATTAAGAAAAAAAGGATTTTCCCTTGAGAAGAGGACCCCAGGGCCCCATGCTCATTCAGGGCTGCCATAGTTCAGCTATCCAGGCACAGAGTCCACTGCAGCCATATATGAGGGGACCAGATTACTGCTCGAGTTGGCAGTAACCTTAGGTATCATTCATTCACATGCTGCTGTTTTGGGGGTATGAAAAAATGCAAGAGTTGTGGGGTCATGGAGGCTTTACCCAGATTTCAGAGAAATGCCTGGGAAGCAAGCGAAGGAGACCAAGAAGACAATGCATGATGTTATGAGAATAAAACCAAAGGTGCATCCCCACGAACTTGGAGAAGCCAAGAACATGTCAAATCTGTCAAGAAAAGCCACAGGCAGTGAGTAGAGCCTGCCAAAGACAGAATCACATGACCTCAACCAGCGAGGAAATACGGGCAGGGCCACCAAGTCCTCTGGCACCCTCATCTTGCCACAGCCTTCCCTAGGTGCTAGACATGGAACAGTAAGATTTAATGTTTCCCTGGCTGTGTTCTGGCCTTACATTGGTCTGATTCCTTCTGACCCCTCCATCTTCCCTTTTCACTTTGGAATGTTTACCTCGTAAACATTTGGTTTTGAAATGTTTAAAGCACGTATATTGGAAATATTTAACTTTCTTTTCGATAGGTGCTCACAGCTAAAAGTTTGCCTTAAGGCTCAAAGGACACTTTGGACTTGTACTTTTCAGCAATGCTGGAACTGCTAAGATCTTGCCAATTCTTAAGAACGGACATGCTGCATAATGAGATGGACATGAGCCTTTGGAGGCTGGGGCAGAATGTCACTGTTAAGTATTAAGCAATTCCACAAAAATGTCATGTGTCTAACTGGAGCTACAGATGTGGCTCAGTGCAAGAGCTCCTGCCTTGCATGCACAAGGTCCTGGGCTTAATACTACAAGGAAAGAGACAGACAGACAGACAGACAGACAGACAGACAGACAGACAGGAAGAAAAGTAGGTATATAAGTAGGTGACTAGACCATGGAGGGCACTACACTGTTGAGTTCATGCTAAATGTGCTACTGGGAGGGGGGGCCTAATCAGAGGTGGTGGGTGGCTGGAGGGTATAACCTGGAAAGGTATTCTTTTTTCTTTTTTGCTTTGTTTGAGGTATGGTCTCACTACATGATCCAGGCTGGGCTTGAACTCACTATGTAGTCCCCCCAGGCTGGCCTCAAACTCCCAGCAATCCTTCTGTGTCAGCCTCACAAGTGCTGGTATTATAAGGATGGGCACTACCCCCAGCTGGGAAGGTGTACTCTTTTTTTTTTTTTTTTTTTTGGTACCAGGGATCAAACTCAGGACCTTATGCTTGCCAGGCAGGCATTTATGCTGCTGAGCTATCTCCCTCGTGTATTCCTGACCCCAGCTCTTCTTTCTTTCTGCTTCCTGGCTGCCACCATCTCTCTCTACTATTCTGTTTCTGCCTTAAAGCTGGATGATCATGAACTGAATCCACTGGAAACTGTGAACCTAACAAAGCTTTTCTCCTTTAAATTGTACATGTCAGGCATTTTGTGCCAAGGACAGGAAAGACAATTAATACTACCAGGTAGCCTACCTGGCCTTACCCCAAACCTAAACCCAAATCTTACTTCACGAACATTCTCCACACTTCATGTGCATAATGAAGTTTGGGGTAAACACTAAAACGTCCAGAACTGCTCTGCGTAGGCACATGTTCCAGAGTCAGCAGGAGATGGATGCCACTGATCTGCAGTCCCCTCACTGCCAGTTTTCATGTATGTCCACCTCCCTGTGGGAGACTGCATGTTTAAAGGGCAATTCTGACTCTGCCTAAAATATGATGTCACCATTTTGTCCCTGGGCTGACACTCAGCTACCACTCTAACAACTGGCTGAATTTAACCAAGGCCTCACATCTTTGCATAGAAACAATAAGTATGCTAACAGAATAAGCTGGTTCAGTAAAGGCTGAACCCAGAGTTGTCAGCCCTGAGCTCAATGCACAGGTCAGTCATAACTAAGAGTACAGTGAGAAGAGAGCTCTTGACCAGGCATCACAGAAAGATACACTACAAGTGCAGATGTGCAGCATAATCCTTTAAGTTCAAGGTTGATTTCCTTGAAATAAAGATGCTAACCAATTCATTCATTCTGTAAAGTCTGCAATTCTATAAAATAAATTTCTGTTACTCAGGAGCTGCCTACACTTTTAACCACACATTTAGAAAACTCTTGAACATTTAATGATGGCTTACCTGCGCACACCTTCCTAGGTCTTTCCTGTCCAGATACTGAAATATATTGATTGCCAATTCATAAGGCAGCTGGACATCAAAGAAGGGCACATCATCCATTTCATTCTGAGGAGGAAAAAAAAATACAATTTTGAGATATGAAAATAACTAATATTTGCAGCCCCTTTAAGCGACAGCTATTTCCTAGGAGGGAATGCTATCATGAGTTCTCAAAGCAGTCATACAACTGATGCAAAAGTCACCAGAAGCTCTCACCTCTGATTTCCACAGACTGAACTCCTCACATTCACTTGTGAAAGAAATCTACACTACAGTTTCCTGTAATTCTCAGTAAAGGAAAATTAGGAGTGTTATCATATATCCCAGGATACACAACAGGAACTCATGGAAAGGTTTGGGCACTTGATTCTCAGGCCAGATGACCAGCAAAGTGGCCAAAAAATGAACCTGGAAATCAGCAAGGCCACTCCTGCTCCCAGGACATCTGCTACTTCCCACCACGTAAGAGGCAAGTAGGTAACCCCAGCTGCAGAAATGCTGCCCTGGATCAGAAAGTGTTTTCAGCACGAGGGAAAGACTAGGGTGAAGAACATGAGCAAAAAGTACACAACGGGAAGGTAGCTCCAGACCAAGGTAAACACCATTTTTCCTTGAGGTTTCCTAATGCTCTCAGGGGCTTACACTGGTTAACCTGAGCGAGCCAGTGCAAACAAAGCAGTTCTTCTTCACTGTCATTTATTAATGTGGAGAAATGAGAGCCTGCCTGCCTTTGGGTAAGCAATTAGAGATGAGGTAACAGGCTTCGGCTGAGCGATAAGGCTGTCATGATGACCCTAGTAACACAAAGGAATATGAGCACAGAATAGAGAAAAAGCCAACTGTGCCTGGTCACGAAGCCACCTGCCAAGGCTTGCTATGTTATGTGCTTTTGCAAAGCCAGGGAAAGCAGTGCTCTTTGTCCCAACAGAACTCACTTAATAAAATCCATTTTTAATAAGCTTTGGCTGACATCATTGACTTACTGGTTGCAAGCAAATTGTTAATTCACCACTCAAACACAAGAGTTTTATGTATTGCGAGGCTGCAGTCTCAGAAAATAGTCTTAGGATTTAGACTCTGTTTTAGAGCACTGATTTGGACCCCTTCAAGATTCAGAACAAAGACTGTTCTGGAATCATATGTCTGTTCATCTAGGAGCCTCAGGGCTAAAGGAGAATCTGGAGCATAAGAAAGAAATGTAGAGTTTAACTACAAAAACAATACAAGAAGAAGTAGGAGGGCCAAAAAGGGTCTCTAGGGGGTGGGGAGTGAGAGCTGACAGTTCTCTGTGGAAAAAGAAGGAACTGAATGTTAAATCAGGACAGAAATACTGGCCATAGAGGGGAAAAGGAAAACAATCTGCAATGGTAATTGCAAGGCACAGGGCTGCTGCCTAAAAAAACAATAGGAAGTTATTGGTCTAATGTTGGGTGAGGTCCCTCTCACACATACACACACACAACTGGCTTCTCACTCATCAGCAAAAGAGGGCCAGCATGGTGCCTCAGGCTTTTAATCCCAGCATTTGGGAGGCTGAGGCAGGAAGACTTCCATGGGCTCCAGGCCAGCTGGGCTACACAGTGAGTTCAAAGCCAGTCTGGACTACATACTGAGACCCTGTCTCAAAACTGGAGGGGATTACTCTCAGCCAGAGACAACTAGAGAATCCCCAACAACACACTGGAGGGAGTCACTGCTGATCAGGAAATCATATAAGACAGATTACCACTTACCACCTGGACTTCCTCCTGCTTATTTTTTTGGATTATTCTTACCACAGTGAAATGGAAAGGCCTGCTTCAACCACTTGTAAACAAAAGTAAAATGTTTCTTAACCTTATACATCTAGAAAACAAGCAGGAAAGAAGTACACACTTGTTCAAACTAATGTCTCCTTTAGCAACTCATCAGGTCTGTCTTTCTTTAATAGGTCCAATTCAGGATGCACCATGAACTAGTTTTGGGACTTGATGTGACCAATGAGGCATAAGACACTGGCATTACTTTCTGGTACAGAAATGTCACACCTCTGATGCCAGAAGCCTTCCACCTTATGCCATTCAGCTGGCCTATTCTCTAGTCTCCATCCTCATTCTGGGATGCAGCATCTCTATCTGTGCATGATCCCAATGCTGCCACTGTCCTTGTTCCCAGCCACTGCCCTCGCTGGGATGTACACTGCCTGGAAGGTCAGAGAAAAGCAAAAGCATCCAAACTTCCTTAGCTGTTCAACAGATACACTATAACGACCCTACAAAATGGGTATGCTATTAAGAATAAAATGAGACAACACATAGAAAAGGCTCAGCACATCACCAGGGTTGAGTATCCAATAGAGGATCGTGAATATGGCTCTTTGCTTTCAAGAGTCACTCCAGCTCTCTTTCCTTCTTCAAATATTTGTTAATCTGGCTTGCCTCCCGTGTACTCCTAAATCAGCTTGCTATTTACACAGCCTGTTTACACAGTATACTTGTCATTGTGCTATAAGCAGAAGACAGTCAGTAATAGTGGTAGTAAGGGGTGGTAAAGCAGAGGCAAAGTCACTCCAGAATCTAAACACTGGAAGTACATGCACAAAGGAAGTTCTCCAAGAAGAATTAAAAACAATCTATAACTTCGTGTGTATGTGTGCGCGCGCGCATATGCGCACACGCGCTTTATTTTTGAGACAAGGACTCACTACACTGTTTAGGTTGGCCTTGTGCTCACTTTTGTAGCCCCCAGGCTGATCTGGAACTCGTAGTGATCCTCCTGTTTCAACATCCCAAGTGCTGGAATTACAGGCAGGCGCCACCACACATGGGGTTCTGGGGACCTGCACAGCATGTGGGTCTTGTGATTGAACTTGGGACCTTGCGCTTGCCAGGTAGGTGCTTATGCCTCTGAGCTATCTCTCCAGCCAACAATCAATAACTTTAAGAGTATTCCTCTGTAATCACTCAGGAAGTCTTTGCTCTGGTCCATGGCAAATGAAAAAGAGGCAGCCCATCAGGTACAAATGACCAGTCAGTGGTATTATGACCAACACACTGACAGTCTGAGATGCGATACGGGGTCTCACTATGAAAATGTACACTGTTCCATAGGACAACCACGGGGCCAGGGAGATGGCTCAGTGGAATAAGCGCTTCCCTGGCAAGCGTAAAGGCCTGAGTTCAATCCCTGGTTCCACCAAGAAAAAAAAGAGAGAGAGAGAGAGAGAGAGAAGGAGAAAACAAAAGAGAATAGAGGGACAAGAAAGGGAACGAAAAAGAGGAGAAAAAAGCGACTGGAATGAGAAAGAAAAATGGTGGCAAGGGGAGAGATCAATAGGACAACCACTGCGCAAAGCACTGAACTCTACCTATGTAAGCACCAACATTCCAGAACCAATTCTTTTAAATCACTGGGCTCTTAGAATTATAACTAAACTCTACAATGATTAATCTTCAACCCAGAACATGCAAGCCCCAGGTTTTCATGCTGATGACCTTCCTTGTTGCTACCAATTGGGGAATAAAGAAGGAAAAAAGAAACTAATACATCAAATGAAGCAAAGCAAATCAAAATACCAAACACCTTTAGAAATACCAAGACCCACAAGGTCAGGTCACCAAATTGTGACGTTTTGTGCTGCATATGTTTAGGAATAACTGTGCCAAGACATCCATGCAAGGCTCTGCAGTGGGGTCACTCACACTTGCCCTTTGGGTCTGAGACTCTCACTCCCCAATGAAAATGCTGCCCGCTCACAGCTGAGTCCCTTCTCACACTGACCTTGGCCAAACCAAAGGCTTCACCAAAGCTGCACCCTCTGCCAGAGGGCAGTCTGTACACAGTAACTAGTCAGTGTCCGCACAGATGCCTGGGTCCCTTGCCTCAATCTGACCTTTTTGCAAGGCCAGCCCACTAAAACACCTACATTCAAATCTCCATCTCGGAGTCAATATTGTGGAAAGGCCGACCTTTTTTCCAAAGCAACAGACATGACCCATGGTGGTCTTACAGTCCATATATTCCCAAAGGTTCTTATGTATAAGTGTAAAGACTTTGGTCTATGTAGCCTACTTTCTTCTCTTCCTCTATTCCAGTAATACTGAAATGCATGTATTTGATTGTAATATTATACAAACCAAACAAGTAGAGTAAATTAAAGGTAATGTCAATAGGACATTACAAACTTACAAACTTTGGTTTGTTGTTTCTATTGACATACCATTTGGGAAATACCTTACAAAGATTAACAGTATGTTTGACCTTGTGGTTGAAAATACAACTCTTTTAAGGGTACGCACAACTTGACAAGAATTTCAAGCCACATCCTGGACAAAAGCTGCAGCTTAGTAAACATGTGAAGCCTAATGGCTGCTGCAGAATGTTCTTGGCAGTATTTCCAAAGTCAACATTTCAGTTGCTACCAGAGAGCAGAGAAATTCCTTGTTATCTATCAGATACCATCAGCTATCTACCTAAATACAGTGAAGCTAACAGCCTCAGTGAGCCACAGTAATCCAACTCTACACTGACAGTGACTTAAAAACATGAAAATGGATAACTTGGGCATTTCACAAACATGCTAAGGAGGAAGAATTTAAAGACATTGTTAAGGCCAGCCAAATAGCTCAGCAGATTAAATGCCTGCAAGCAGGTCCAGGGTCCAGGGGTTTGATCCCCAGACCTGCAATTGAGACTAGATATGGTGGTGCATGTCTATAAACCCAGCTCTCGGGAAGCTGTGAAAAGGTGGATCACTATAAATCCGATCTACATAGTGAGACTCTGAACACCCCGTAGATCCTTCCCTAAAAAAATACAAAAGTAAATAAAGATATTGTTAATACAAGAAAACTTAGAACTATTTTTAAAAATCACTATGACTATACTGTTTAGGGAAAAATTGTGTTCCCAGCAATGAATCTTGCCATATATGCTCTAGAAAACCAGTTAAGTGCAAAGAATTAACATTCCTTCAAATTTAAGGAAACATACCTTTCTAGTGGCATACAACTTAGCTTTTATTATATTCTTTTTTTTTTTTTTTTTTTTTTTTTTTTTTTTTTTTTTTTTGCAGAGCCGGGGATTGA